TAGTGTAGCCCCCTGGAGGCCGTTGAAAAAACTAATCTTTTGCTTCATCGACTGTGTTCCTATATGTGAGATGCGACAGTGACATTTGGCTGAGGTTAATCTCTCATGTCAAACCTGTTTGTAGGTTCAAACTCATTTAAATGGATATTTAATTATATAAATTGTGAGGTCGTCAAGTGGTTTACTGCTAGCAGTTTTTTACACTTAAATTTTGGCGTTATTGGTTTATAGCTCAAAACATCATCACATATAATTACCAACATGAAAATCACGGTAAAACCCCTTAAAAATATGCATATACCTGATTCCTATTTTGTTGCAATCATAAAATATATATTTCATATATTTTCATGATATGAATACTCAAGTCCCTTCTTGATTAGGTAATTTCCAAAGAAAAAATTCTGGTATAAGAATATTCAGAACATACGAATCAGAAAAAGCTGCGAGCACACCACCATCTCGCAGTACCCGATGAGTGCCAGCTCTGCCCTGCCATGTTCACTCAAACGATGCTGCACGCCTGCGGGACTGACGGGACTGAAGGGATTGCGTTTCATAAGCCGTCCAAGTAAACACAGAGAACAGAACGCCCCACCCCTTGGCCCTCTGCTTGTCATGTAAAGTCAATAACCATGCAATAGCCACACGTCCACCTTACAGCTGCGACCAGCCACAGCTCCATGGAACACCACACTGGCGACAGGGACAAACAGTGAACATGGGTAATCAACTTGCAAAATAAACAAGAGGGAAGTATAGCTGTTTCGACCGGGGAGGAGAGCGACGAGAGGAACACGTAGCGCCTGGTCTGTGAGTACCACACTCCTACTGAATGCTAAATTAAGGTGTTTGCAGATTTAAGCTGTGAGCTGACCGAGGCTGTGAGCTGACCAAGCAACCCGTCCTCGACTCAAGTCCATTACATCCAACGGTCGACCCCTCAGACGCATTCGTAAATGTTTACATGCTACCTTGAGGTGCTTCCGGGGCTTAGCGTCCCCGCGGCCCGGTCGTCAACCAGGCCTCCTGCTGTTCATTCAAAACGACAATATTCTCAAATATCAATTAATATTATAATATATTAGCATATTGTGCATATATAGGAATAGGTTAGGTGTTTAGGTTCTGTTGGCGATTATTTGCATTTGACAACCCGTCCTCGACTCAAGTCCATTACATCCAGCGGTCAACCCCACAGACGCATTTATAAATTTTAATATGCTGTTCATTCAAAACGGGAATTTTCTCAAGTATAAATTAATATTATAATATATTAGCATATTGTGCATATATAGGCATAGGATAGGTTAGGTTAGGTGTTTAGGTTCTGTTGGCGATTATTTGTATTTGTAGTACGTGGGTGAAGCATTTATAGCGTTGTGAGTCGAACAAAATTCGTCAGTGAAGCACTTGTTCCGGATATGTTCGAACGTCAGCAGTTGTGAGTCGTGTGTAAACCGCTTTTCATTCATAAACAGGGGGTTTGACGGGTGCATGGAATAACTTTTGGATCTTTGTTTGGAGGACGGGCTGCATTTGAAGTAAGTGGGTGAAGCCTTTACATCGTTGTGGTTCGAACAAAATTCGTCAGTGAAGCACTTGTTCTGGGAGTGTTCGGACGTCACCTGTTGTGAGTCGTGTATAAACTGTTCTTCATTCATAAACAAGGGGTTAGGCGGGTGGATGGAATCACTTTCGGGTCTTTGTTTGGAGGACGGGCTGGACCGAGGCTCTCAGCTGCCCGAAGATGTGAGCTGACCGAGGTATAGTGAGCTGACCGAGGCTATGAGCTGACCGAGGCTGTGAGATGACCGAGACTGTGAGCTGACCGAGGCTCTGGGCTGACCATGACACTATCACAGGTGTAGGCTGTTCACCCAACACAGCCACCCCCGCCATCACTGTCACAGCCGTCCTCGCTGCAGCAGCCGCCACAGCCGTCAGCACTGCCGTAGCTGCCACCACAACAGCCGTCAGCACTGCCAGAGCTGCCACCACAACAGCCGTCAGCACTGCCGTAGCTGCCACCACAACAGCCGTCAGCACTGCCAGAGCTGCCACCACAACAGCCGTCAGCACTGCCGTAGCTGCCACCACAACAGCCGTCAGCACTGCCAGAGCTGCCACCACAACAGCCGTCAGCATTGCCATAGCTGCCACCACAACAGCCTTCAGCACTGCCATAGCTGCCACCACAACAGCCTTCAGCACTGCCGTAGCTGCCACCACAACAGCCTTCAGCACTGCCAGAGCTGCCACCACAACAGTTTTCAGCACTGCCAGAGCTGCCACCACAACAGCCTTCAGCACTGCCAGAGCTGCCACCACAACAGCTTTCAACACTGCCATAGCTGCCACCACAACAGCCTTCAGCACTGCCATAGCTGCCATCACAACAGCCTTCAGCACTGCCATAGCTGCCACGACAACAGCCTTCAGCACTACCATAGCTGCCACCACAACAGCCGTCAGCACTGCCATAGCTGCCACCACAACTGCCGTCAGCACTGCCATAGCTGCCATCACAACAGCCGTCAGCACTGCCATAGCTGCCACCACAACAGCCGTCAGCACTGCCATAGCTGCCATCACAACAGCCGTCAGCACTGCCATAGCTGCCATCACAACAACCTTCAAAACTGCCATAGCTGCCACCACAACAGCCGTCAGCACTGCCATAGCTGGCATCACAAGCGCCTTCAAAAGTGCCATAGCTGCTACCACAACAGCCTTCAGCACTGCCATAGCCGCCACCACAACAGCCTTCAGCACTGCCATAGCCGCCACCACAACAGCCTTCAGCACTGCCATAGCTGCCACCACAACAGCAGTCAGCACTGCCATAGCTGCCACCACAACAGCAGTCAGCACTGCCATAGCTGCCACCACAACAGCAGTCAGCACTGCCATAGATGCCACTACAACTGCCTTCAGCACTGCCATAGATGCCATCAGCACTGACATAGATGCCATCAGCACTGCCATAGCTGCCACCACAACAGCCTTCAGCACTGCCATAGCCACCTAGCTGCCACAGCCGTCAGCACTGCCATAGCTGCCACCACAACAGCCGTCAGCACTGCCAGAGCTGCCACCACAACAGCCTTCAGCACTGCCATAGCTGCCACCACAACAGCCGTCAGCACTGCCATAGCTGCCACCACAACAGCTTTCAAAAGTGCAATAGTTGCCATCACAACAGCCTTCAGCACTGCCATAGCTGCCACCACAACAGCCGTCAGCACTGCCAGAGCTGCCACCACAACTACCTTCAGCACTGCCATAGCTGCCACCACAACAGCCTTCAGCACTGCCATAGATGCAACTACAACTGCCTTCAGCACTGCCATAGATGCCATCAGCACTGCCATAGCTGCCACCACAACAGCCTTCAGCACTGCCATAGCTGCCACCACAACAGCCTTCAGCACTGCCATAGCTGCCACCTCAATAGCCGGCAGCACTGCCATAGCTGCCACCACAACAGCTTTCAAAAGTGCAATAGTTGCCATCACAACAGCCTTCAGCACTGCCATAGCTGCCACCACAACAGCCTTCAGCACTGCCAGAGCTGCCACCACAACAGCCTTCAGCACTGCCATAGCCACCTCCGTCACAGCCGTCACCGCCACCATGTCTATCGCCTCTCACTGTCTTCTTGCATGTCCTTGTACCTTTGTCTATCTTTTTCTCTGTCTATCAGTCTCTTTTCTTTTGCCTTGTCTGTCTGTCTGTCTCTTTCTATCTACTTGTTTGTCTCTCTCCATCTTTCTTTCTTTCTGCCTGTTTTTCACTCAATTTTTTGTCTGTATCCTATTCTCTCCTTCTCTGTCTTTTCTATCTTTCTTTTGTTTCTGTTCATCGATTGTCTGTCATTCTCTCTCCATCTGTCTGTCTGTCTGTGTCTCTCTATCTCTTTCTATTTTTATCCATTTATCTGTCTGTCTGCCAACGTCTCTTGCTCTCACTGTTTCCTAGTGTGGTCTCAAACTTATTCACTCATTCCGTCTCTGTCTGTCTGTCTGTCTGTCTGTCTGTCTGTCTGTCTGTCTGTCTCTCTCTCTCTCTCTCTCTCTCTCTCTCTCTCTCTCTCTCTCTCTCTCTCTCTCTCTCTCTCTCTCTCTCTCTGTCTCTGTCTCTCTCTCTCTCTCTCTCTCTCTCTCTCTCTCTCTCTCTCTCTCTCTCTCTCTCTCTCTCTCTCTCTCTCTCTCTCTCTCTCTCTCTCTCTCTCTCTTTCTCTCTCTCTCACTCTCTCTCTCTCTCTTTCTCTGTCACTATCTCTCTCTCTCTCTCTCTCTCTCTCTCTCTCTCTCTCTCTCTCTCTCTCTCTCTCTCTCTCTCTCTCTTCTCTCTCTCTCTCTCACTCTCTCTCTCTCTCTTTCTCTGTCACTATCTCTCTCTCTCTCTCTCTCTCTCTCTTTCTCTCCTATCTCTCTCCTGTCTCTCCACCCCCTTCTCTCTCCTCTCTTTCTCAACTCCCTTTCTCTCTCTCTCTCTCTCTGTTCTCTCATCTCTCTTTGCCTCTCCCTTTCTCATTCTGTCTCCCTTTGTTACTCTCCATCTCTCTCTTTCTGTCTAACTCTGTCTCTGTCTCTCTTGATCTCTCTCTCCCTCTCTGTCTTTCGGTCTCGCTCGTTCTCTGTCTCCTCTCTCTGTTCTCGCTCTCTTTCTTTGTCTCTTTCCTCTAACCTCCCAGCACTCCCCCTTTGTTTCTCTCCTCTCTCATTCTGCAGTCTCTCTCACTATTTGTTTCTCCCCTGTTTCTTTCTATCTGTCTCTCATTGCATCTCTCTCCCATTGTACCTCTGTCTGCCTTTCTCTGTGTCTCTCTCTTTTTCTGACTCTGTTTTCTCTTTCTGTCTCTCCTTGTCTGTCTTTCTGTTTTTTAAATTAAATAAAGATATGTATTCCAATAATTAATAATTAGAATATTCGTTATTCAAACATTAAAAACGGGTGTCATAAAAACGTTATGGCCTCACGTTTTATACTCGTGTTTACAAATTCTCGGAATACATGTATAAAACGTAGTTTAAAAAGTAATTAAAACAATCAAATGTTGTTTTTTTCACGTTCTGAAAACGAGAAAATGTTTGCTGCGAGCTGACCGAGGCTGTGAGCTGACCGAGGCTGTGAGCTGACCGAGGCTGTGAGCTGACCGAGGCTGTGAGCTGACCGAGGCTGTGAGCTGGCCGAGGCTGTGAGCTGACCGAGGCTGTGAGCTGACCGAGGCTGTGAGCTGACCGAGGCTGTGAGCTGGCCGAGGCTGTGAGCTGACCGAGGCTGTGAGCTGACCGAGTTTCTGAGCTGACCGAGGATGTGAGCTGACCGAGTTTCTGAGCTGACCGAGGCTGTGAGCTGACCGAGGCTGTGAGCTGACCGAGTTTCTGAGCTGACCGAGGCTGTGAGCTGACCGAGGCTGTGAGCTGACCGAGTTTCTGAGCTGACCGAGGCTGTGAGCTGGCCGAGGCTGTGAGCTGACCGAGGCTGTGAGCTGACCGAGGCTGTGAGCTGACCGAGGCTGTGAGCTGGCCGAGGCTGTGAGCTGACCGAGGCTGTGAGCTGACCGAGTTTCTGAGCTGACGAGGATGTGAGCTGACCGAGTTTCTGAGCTGACCGAGGCTGTGAGCTGACCGAGGCTGTGAGCTGACCGAGTTTCTGAGCTGACCGAGGCTGTGAGCTGACCGAGGCTGTGAGCTGACCGAGTTTCTGAGCTGACCGAGGATGTGAGCTGACCGAGGATGTGAGCTGAGCGAGGCTGTGAACTGACCGAGGCTGTGAGCTGACCGAGGCTGTGAGCTGACCGAGTTTCTGAGCTGACGAGGATGTGAGCTGACCGAGTTTCTGAGCTGACCGAGGCTGTGAGCTGACCGAGGCTGTGAGCTGACCGAGTTTCTGAGCTGACCGAGGCTGTGAGCTGACCGAGGCTGTGAGCTGACCGAGTTTCTGAGCTGACCGAGGATGTGAGCTGACCGAGTTTCTGAGCTGACCGAGGCTGTGAGCTGACCGAGGCTGTGAGCTGACCGAGTTTCTGAGCTGACCGAGGATGTGAGCTGACCGAGGATGTGAGCTGACCGAGGCTGTGAGCTGACCGAGGCTGTGCACCAGCGAATCTCTTGTTTTGTTGTGAGCTGAACTATATGCCGTCGGAAGTTATGAGCAACACAACGCTCTGGTGCAGAAATCATCATGCTGATCATGCTGTCAACTCTGCTGTGTTGCCAGTGTAGAATTCTTATCAAATAACATTGTTGACATGTGCTGCTTTGCCTTAATATAGAACTCCACCACTTGTCCACATGAATAGTTTGCTGTTGTGTTGTACATTGTGAATGAAAATTTGCATTGCAATGCTTGAGTACTTGGCAAAATTAAGGTAGTTACAGTGTATTAGTCAAATGATCTTTAAAATTAATTCATATTCAATCATTATAAATTGCAAATGAACACTAGTTTCCTGTATTTGGTCCTCAATGTGAACAGACTAATCTGCCCCGAGATGGACCAAATAGATTTAAAGGTTTGAAATGTGTCTACTTTGTTCCAGACATCAAAAATGTTCAAAGAAACTAAGTCATTTTACTTCATTATGTAGGAATAGAGTTTGTGACACTTTCACACTGAAAGACACTGGTGCTGAGAAAGATATTGACACTGACAAAGCCAAATTAACTGGATATAACAAACCTGGAGAGTAACAACACGGATACCGTGCATTTGAGCAGAGCCAAACAACTTCCCACTGGAAGTACAGATCATTACCACTCTCGTCTACGGCCGCCACCTGCTCATCGTCAGTTTGTTCGTTGATGATGAACTCTCTAAACAAAACACTGGACATTGTTCGTCACATGGATGAGACCGTTCGTGTCATGGAGTGCAGTGCTGCCGGTACTCATAATTATGTACAGATATGTAAGGTTCAGAGAGCACTCCGTCATCAAAGCGACTATCATGATAACCCCAACAAACTTTTGAGCCAAAGACCACAACAGGAATCAAGGAGCACCGCCCCGGCAACACAAACGTGTCGGAAGTTTGACACATAACATACTAATGCTGTGTACTAACATTTCTAGAACCCATATATATATCCAGCAAACCTGGTTATACTAGTTACATTACTTAGTCGTGAAGGGATTACAGAAAATTAATTATCTGCTACATCTCGTATCATTAAAACAACAGTTTAAGCATTAGAATTAATTGAAAAGTTTTTTTTCAATCCTTTAACTTGAAGAAATGTACCATAAACCAATGGACTTCCTCCTATTGTCAAATAATAGAATAAACACAAATAGAACCATAATTTGGGGAGACGCCGCTGCGGGTAAGCAGCTGCCTCCAGGAATGAACGTGAACCTAAGTATTTTACCTCAATAAACTTATTTCAATTTCAATTCCACTAGGGAGGTTCCCTGGGGTCCGATACACTCCCGACAAAGATTGATATTTCAATCGGCCGCCGTGATTATTGCCTCAGTGACCTCATCCATAAGAAGGGAAGATCAGCTCTCGGTATTTCTATTGCACATAATTTTGGACATTATTAGTGTAGGAATTTATCGTTATGCAGTAGGGAGACTACTACACCAAGAGTAAGCCTTATTATTCAGCCGGTCCTCCAAAAATGGGGTGGTAAATGTAAGAAGACAAATAAGTGCAATTATGTACTATTCATAGCAGTTAGGAATTGTACTTATTTTCACTTAGTATTAAATCGTACTGTCAAATATATTGTGAATATTTGAGTTTACCTGAAAAAACTGAATAGAAAACCACAACCTCACCTAACCGTCTTAGTTTTTGAAGATAATATTTTATTGCTTCCTAATTACAATTAGTACTTAACTATAGCTATATTGATATTACAGTTTTATAAAACTAATAAAACAAAACTAAAATATATCAATAAATTGTAAATTAACTCAGGATATTTTAAAATTTTGCATAAAATCTATGTTGTTTAATAAACCTGAAAAAGAAATTCCTGATATTTAAAACTTGTGTATAGCCAATTGAAGATGAAATCTTCGTCCTAAAATTCTGAGTGGCTTAACAGAAAACGAGGATAATTAAATCGGGGGAGGGAGTTGGGTAAATGTAACAGCCCCCTAAGTGCAATTATGCACTGTTTATGACAGTAAGAAAGTGTACTTATTACACTTAGTATTAAATCGTACTGTCAATTCGGAGGATGGGTTGTATTATTATATTACATCACAAATTTATTATGTCACACCTGTACCTTACATGTTTTGTGCAGTTGTCACAGTCTAACTTGTTGGCAGATAAGCTAGTGATCTATGAGACATGCCAGAGAGATGTCACACCTGCGAGATAGTATACAGACGTCTTACAGGCGCTGGCTGCCCCAACAACCGCCATTAACATGACCAGAGGGTCCACATGTGGCAAACCAGTCTGAGATTTGAAAACTAGCTCTCACTCAACCATATCAGCTGAGGCTTCTTTTAACATGCTATACTAACCTATTATAATTTTACAATACAACATTATCATTTTATAATAGTAATAACACACTTTATATTGTAGGTTATTTATAACCACAAATTGTGGTATAAGTTATGTACATTAACCGCCCCCCCCCCCCTACTTGTAAACAGGTAAACACCTAACAGGATACATATTAAAATACAGTCCACTTTTTAAACTAAATAATAAATATAAAGTAATTCAATAAGTAATTAAATAAGTAAATATAATAAAAACACATTACAGCCTGCTAGGAAAAATCCCACATACCCACATCAGAGGATATCAGCAACAATTGTCATCACTGTGGAGGTGATTATCGACTCACAGCTGGTGCTACCGCCTGCCCTGCTCATGGTAAGAAGTGCTGTGAGTGTGGAAAACTAGAACTTTTTGGTGTCATGAGTCGTTCCACTGGGAAGTGATCACAGGTAATGAACATTAGTGCAGTGCGAGGTTTCAAAAACCATGTTGCTATAAATATCATGGTGGACACTGTATTGACTTGGTTCTCACGGAGACCGGCAAGTTCCCTTTGCATCTTGCAGTAGCCCCACACAGAGTTATCCAGAGGGATTGACAGATTAAATTTTTGCAACACTTTGCAACACTCGGGAAAGCGCCGGGCACAACACTAGGTCACCGGCTGTTACTGGGCTGGTGATGGAAGCAAGTACTAGAGCAAGCAACAAGATATTTACACGTCAATTGCAGAATGACACAGAGTAATAATCTCTTCCCCGAGGATATCGTAATCTTGCATCGCGGGTTGTCGTCCTGCTCAAATGACTGTCGCTAGAAGATGTAAGACGTTATGGGGTCACACATCAACTGTAGTGATGCAGGTTGTGGCAGCACTACCCTATAGATGGAGCCAAGAATTACTTCAGTAGACTAATGATGTTGTAGGAGAGAAGTAGGAAGTAGTTAATTGAAAACTGAATATAATACAATATATAAGTTTATTCATGAAACGTAACACTATAACACTTGGGCTTTTGTTACGTTAAATAACAGTATCACGCCAGCAACAGCTAGGCAACGCATAATCCAGCAGGATGGGGACAGCGTAGATGCTTTGTACACTACTTGCAAGCCACAACCTGAACTTACAAGTACACTCAAGATAACTAATGATAACTAATCAACACTCAAGATAACTAATCTGCACACTGAAGTATAATCAAAGTATACAGCAATGGCATATATCAATTCCTGGAGAAGATTGCACATTAGCAAATGATATATGCTCAATTAAATCACTGTTCTACCTGGTCACGCGGACAACTCTACTGAGTATAAGGAAACACGCTAGTCTCAACTGAGCCAGATAAATGAACACTTAGTACACTGACTCACATACACCACGTCCATGTGTAATTATTACTCAACACACAAAGTGCTGAAACACACAAGTAATGCGCGGGATTACTTTAATCCACTCACACAACTGACTGTCTGCTACCAGACACTCACACAACTGACTGTGTGGTCCAGACACTCACACAACTGACTGTGTGGTCCAGACACTCCCACAACTGACTGTCTGCTACCAGACACTCACACAACTGACTGTGTGCTACCAGACACTCACACAACTGACTGTGTGCTACCAGACACTCACACAACTGACTGTGTGGTCCAGACACTCACACAACTGACTGTGTGCACCAGACACTCACACAACTGACTGTGTGCACCAGACACTCACACAACTGACTGTGTGCACCAGACACACAACTGACTGACACTCACACAACTGACTGTGTACCAGACACTCACACAACTGACTGTGCACCAGACACTCCCACAACTGACTGTGTGCACCAGACACTCACACAACTGACTGTGTGCACCAGACACTTGCACAACTGACTGGGTGCTACCAGTCACTCACACAACTGACTGGGTGCTACCAGACACTTGCACAACTGACTGGGTGCTACCAGTCACTCACACAACTGACTGGGTGCTACCAGACACTCACACAACTGGCTGGGTGCTATCAGACACTCACACAACTGACTGGGTGGAATCAGACACTCACACAACTGACTGCCTGCTACCAGACACTCACACAACTGACTGGGTGCTACCAGACACTCACACAACTGACTGTGTGCACCAGACACTCACACAACTGACTGTGTGCACCAGACACTCACACAACTGACTGACTGCTACCAGACACTCACACAACTGACTGGGTGCTACCAGACACTCACACAACTGACTGGGTGCTACCAGACACTCACACAACTGACTGGGTGCTACCAGACACTCACACAACTGACTGGGGGCTACCATACACTCACACAACTGACTGGGTGCTACCAGACACTCACACAACTGACTGGGTGCTACCAGACACTCACACAACTGACTGGGTGCTACCAGACACTCACACAACTGACTGGGTGCTACCAGACACTCACACAACTGACTGGGTGCTACCAGACACTCACGCAACTGACTGTGTGCTGACACTCACACAACTGACTGTGTGCTACCAGACACTCACACAACTGACTGTGTGCTACCAGACACTCACACAACTGACTGGGTGCTACTGTGTGCCAGACACTCACACAACTGACTGGGTGCTACCAGACACTCACACAACTGACTGGGTGCTACCAGACACTCACACAACTGACTGGGTGCTACCAGACACTCACACAACTGACTGGGTGCTACCAGACAC